TTTAACACAAAATTCAATAGTTTTCACAACTTCATGTTACATAATTGTACTTCCTCTATTTTATAGGGTGAATCTTGGGGATCAGTGAACGCAACACCAGGTCCACCTGGGCCTCCTGGAAGGGATGGAGACTCGGTATCTATTTAGATTATGTTAATATTGATAGTATAATTCTGTCTGTACGATATTTTCCATTTCCATGAAAGTCATTATAATGAAAAAATATATATAAAAGTAATACTGTATTAGATTTGTTTGGCTTGTGTTTATTTTTTAATATAAATGAAACATCCCTTAACTTTCAGGGAAGTCCAGGATACCCTGGAGATAATGGACAAAGAGGGGACCGTGGACCTTTGGGCTCTGTGGTGAGTAAAGTTTTGAGGGTTGCCTTGCAGAGAGTAAATATAGCACAAAAATGATTGTATGATGTTTGATACCTGTCTCTTGTGAACAGGGGTCTCCTGGTCGTGATGGGGCTCCAGGATCTAAGGTAATTTTATTAAACATGGATCAATACTTTAGACATGTCTGTACGTGTGAACGATTGTGAGAATTATCTGTGTGTAAAGCTGGCACAGAGGAAAACCACAGCTGCAGGGTTTTTGTTTTGGTCTGCTTCTTATCATAGTTAACTGTACACACTACCTGGGAAAAGCGGGAACAACGCCTAGCAGCTGATATAATATACACTACTGTTTGGCCACAGTGCTTGTTGTTTTGGTAAGACAGTGTTTTGGAATTTAGTGTGAACATCTGAAAGTATTCCTGTTTACAAGTGTCCTGTGAAACTGCTTTCAGACAGTGAAAATAGTAATGATAGGATGTAGTGTATTAGAGGAGCTGGCAGCAATGAACACAACATGACTGGAGAGAACCTGACCACAACTTAATTGGATAAAATTGCAAAATAAAGATATTTCTGAAAGAATACTGGTAGAACAACTTCTTTATACAAACAAATTATGACTGTGTTACCATCCTACAGGGTCAAGAAGGCATAGGGGGTTCAGGACCTCGAGGAACAAAGGTAATTATTTTTGATGCCTTTGCTCTGGTGACAGCTATGTTTTTAGTTTCTCTTAAAGGTCCCCTATTATACTGTTTTTCATCAATATATTATAGGTCCCAGATATATACAAAACATGTCTCTGAAGTGTTTGGCTCCAAATACCAAACAGATCATTGCAGCATCCCATAATCCCCTCTGTTTCAGCCCTGTTTCAAAAGTGCTGATTCTGTGTCTGTTACTTTAGATGAAAATAAGGAGCCCCTCCCCACGCCCCTCTGAGAGAGATTTGGTTAAAAAGAACACAATGGTGCTCTAGGAGGAGATTCAGGCGATAAGGTGGGCGGGTGTTACCTTGGTTGCTGATTGGCTAATGGTTACACAAGCCAAAAAATCGTTATGACATCATAAAGTGGCCAAAATCTGATCAGCTCATTTTCAGACAGGTTTTTATAAATGGATCAGGACAAAAAGTGGGGAAATATTTTTTCCTGAAACTTTCAGAATCTCTTTACACAGAGGGGACACATGTTTATGTATAAAAGACATGAACAAGTGTATTTTCGATAATAGGTGACCTTTAATGTCTGTTGGCATGTCTATGGAGTATATGCATAAAAAGCGTCAGCCAAATACAAAATGATGTTTGCATTTTGTCTTATTTAACCGTGAAGATAATCTCAATGTGTTTGATGTAGGGGAGACGAGGACCAAAAGGCCCACCGGGGCCGCCGGGTCGGATTAAGGTTTTTCTCACAGAGACTCAGGTGTTGAAGGTACAGTAATAGACTGAGTCAAATCACTGTAGCAATAATATATTCCAAAGAGTATGGTTTCATTTGAACATATTGGAAAGATAAAACATTTTCATTGCGATTAAAGAACCATAACCTGAGACCTATGTCTCATTCAGGGTGAGAAAGGAGACGGGGGAGATGTAGGAGAAAAGGGCTGCAAGGGTGTGCCAGTAAGTATATTCTTCACACATTTCTAATTTAATTCCCCTGCTGAACGTTCTGCCTTGTTAGTGTTTTTCATTTATCCTTCTGATCCATGTCTTTATTTCAATCTGTTCTCAGGGAGACCCTAGTAATGGTTATAACACCAAAGGAGAAAAGGGAGACCAAGGACAGCCGGGTCCAGAAGTAAGATACTACCTACGACCTCTTCCACTCATCCTCACCTCCAAGCCTTCCTTACGGATTGTGCATATATATGAAATAAAGTGTTATATACTTTTACACCATATATTTTTCCCGGCAAACAGAGATGTCACCTCTTCACATTGCATTGATGGGCCAGCAGTTACACTTTGAGAATAGCTTAAGAATAAGGATGAACAGCAGAGGGCAGTAATGCAACATTTCAATTAATGTGATTTGCCACATTGCTGCAAAAAGGCCCTTATTGATTGTCCCTCTGTAGTGACTAATTTTCTTTCTTATCTAAGTGTCTGCACATTTTCACTATTCAATGTGTATTTTCATTTTGTTTCATTTACTTGTCGCATGTATCTGAATGGTGTCACTGCTTTTATAGGGAGCCGCTTAACCCTCCATATGTAATGAAAGAGGGGCCTCCCCTTAAATCCTAGCTGTTGATTGCTTTAATGCTTACTGTGCCAATAAATATTAAATGTTCAATAATTCAATTCATTAACGCATGCATGAGGTTCTTCATAAACAATTTAATGTATAGAAAGTACACCTGCCAATTGCTCACTGTCTTCCTCTGTTGTCCTTACAGGGGAAGACAGGGAAGGACGGTGAACCAGGACAAACATATGTGGTACCGCTCTACTTTACTAAGATTATGGATGTATGTAGAGGTATTGTGTCTTCTTGTGTTTGTGGCTTTTGAATACAATATAGTTTTCTTTAGGGAAGGCCTGGACCCAGAGGGGATCTGGGAAATCCAGGGACAGCAGGAGGGATGGTCAGTGATTTCTTATAAGCAAAATAATAACTCACGACTTTTGTGGGGTTTGGTATGTTTTGTACTTAATCCTTTGATTGACTACTATTTAGGGTGGAAAGGGAGATAGGGGTCCCCTGGCCAACCTGGACATGTGAGTATATCCTTTTCATTTTCTACTGTGTACTCCTGAACTTTGTAGGTTTTTCAATCCAGTTTCCAAGGCAATTTTCAATTCTATACGAAATGATTATTGCATAAATGCGTTGCCGTGATTAGCCTGTGTTGTACCTCCTCAATATAACAAAGTTAAGGCAACTCTCAAGATATTGCCTGAATTTCTTTTTAGATACTGATCAACTTTTTAATGTTGGTGACACATTTTGTTTAATGTATAAACTGCTGAAGCTCTGACTGCAGCAACAATGCAGATGACATGCTACTGTAGCTAGCTGACATGATGAAAGTGATTGAGAGAGGGGGTCGCAGAGGTTTGGTCTAAAAAGGAGCCTACTATAATCACTGACAATGTCAGAGAAGACAAACCACCTGTGATCTTTTTCTTGCTGTTTCATTTTGATTTCTCTACATGTCCCCTATGATTATATTTAAGGTAATTGCGCCTGTGACTGAGCTACTCAAAGGATACCTCGGAGATCCTGGTTTCCAAGGCTCTCCTGGGACACCTGGGCGTCCAGGTAAATGAAAATAATAACCCTAACCCTAAGAAACAAAAAGAGATGAACAACAAATAGATCCGGTGGCCCTAAGTCATTGTCTGCCTTGATTGACAAATGATATTTCTGTAGATGTGGTAGTTATGACTTTGAAGACTAATGTTTGCTTTCAGCAGACATGCCTCTAGAGGAATAACACTTTACTTTTCTTTTCTCAGGTGTTGAAGGGTTTCCTGGACGTGATGGTCCTCCAGGTGTGTAGTGAAGAGGCTTTTCTCATCCTTTGTATCTCTCTATCTCCCAATCAGGGAATACATATGTGTATTACTTTAAGTGTGCCTGAATATATTACTTACAGTTTTCTCTATAAACATTACACAGGCCATTCATCTGGGATATCTGTGCCAGGCCCACATGGTCCTAATGGCTTTCAGGGCCACAAAGGGGACCCTGGGGAGCCTGGGGAGCCTGGGGATATTTATCCAAGACTTTCAGGTATAGATGGGGATGATGGTGATCAGGGGCCTCCCGGGGATCCGGGCCCACCCGGACCGCCTGAAGACAGAAGTATGTGTAAATTCCTTTCTTGTAAAAAGACATATTTTCAAAGCTCATTTGCTTTCTGTGATGTAAAGATAAAATGGCTGCAGTTCTATTGCACAAATGCATGCGACTGTAACTTGATGTAATGGAAAAGAGTGGCAGGTGCGTGTTTAACAATTGAGCCATCAGTTATCAGAAACAACATTGTAAAAGAATGTTCAAGATTGGATTACATTTCAAAGTGCTTCAGTTATGCTATAGGCATACAAGATGATAATCTGTATTACTAACAAAAATACACCAATAATGATAATAAAAATGCATTTTGACATAAATGTGGCACTTTTACCATAATAAGTTGACTGATGGACTTGTGTTGGTGTTGATTGCAGCTTACAGGATTACCAACGCTCCCCCAGGAATGAAAGGGGTGCTGGGTAGACCTGGACATATGGGACATGATGGGACATATGGAATGAAAGGTGGGAAATTAATTGTCCTTCATTGACTATGTTCCTAATTGGTTTGACACCTCTTCAAGTCACTAATACTGGTAAACTATTGCATGAAGTTACTGAATAACATAGCAGTTTATGCATCTCTGTAAGGGACTGGGGGGAGTACGAAGAGAAAATGTAAGGAACACATAATATTGTATAACATAATTGGGACTCATTATATTGCTGCTCAAAACATTCCAATGTTTTTTTCTTTGTTCAGGAATAAAGGGGGAGCCGTGTTATGCCTGTCTTGTATCAGATTTCCCAGGACCACCAGGTCCCCGGGGCCTACCTGGCATCCCTGGTAAATAAATTCACTGCAGGAAAACACAGAATCTACCAAATCTGTCATTCTTCAACATTGGAGTGCATTTTTTAGTAAAAGTTTTGGACATACTACAGTGTAGATAAGATGAACAGAGTATGAATGTTTGAAACTGAAATAGACATTCTTTATACGTCTGTGGCTCAGGATATAACCAAGGACCAGGTGCTAAAGGTGATCCAGGTTTCCCAGGGCCTGATGGCTTAGGAGTACAAGTAAGAATGCATGTCTTAAAACAAATCCTTATTTTTTACAAACATTTTTGAACAATAATTCTCCTCTGAAGGGTCCTATAGGTCGAATGGGATTTCCAGGCCCTCAAGGACAAAAAGGAGACTCATATTCCTACAACACTCCTGGGATAAAGGGAGAGAAAGGAGACCTGGGACACCCTGGCAGACCTGGTGCAGGTGCACTCCCTGGGTTTCCTGGACAACCAGGACGAAAAGGCGAGCAAGGTCCCCCAGGGGATTCGGTGAGAAGGTTTTGTCAGGTTTCAATTTAACATGCCATTTGTTTTGCCATTTTGTCATGTTAATGTTAATGTTTCAACCTTCTGAATTCATAGCAAAGGCCCATGCAATATAATTTATGGTTTAAGTAATTGTTGTAATAAGTTCTCCGTCTTCTCTCCAGTATCCCTTCCATGGTGCAGAGGGAGAACGTGGTTACCAGGGTCCACCAGGTTCTTTAGGTATACCAGGACCGGTTGGCTATGCTGGGTCAGTGGGATACGGGCCTCCTGGACCTCCAGGAGGTCCGGGAGATGCTGGTGTAACTGGCCTGCCAGGACACGCTGGATCTCCAGGTAAAGAGACACCTATAAACAATATATCAGACATTTATACATGAACACAAGTAGATAGACAGAAAGACTGAAAGCCATTGGGTGTCCTTTCTTTACTTATTTCTTCATTGGTAGGCCAGAAAGGCGAATCCACACATATCCACACCATAGGACCTCCTGGACTTAAAGGTTTGCCTGGTTCACCCGGAATCCTAGGTAAGTATTTATTATTGGATGAATGATATGGTGTTTACATTGCCACACAATAGAGGATGGAAGCATTTCTATACTCACTAACAAACATCCAGGTAACCACGGAGCGCCAGGTAGCCCAGGACTAACAGGTTTTCAAGGACAGAAAGGAGAGAACGGTGAGGTGTCGTTTCCTGGAAGGCCAGGGATCCGAGGACAGAAAGGTAATCTATGTGCTGTTGAGCACACGCAGAAAAGCCGCATAGATAACATAATCAATTTCTGGAAGTTAACACATTCTTAAGCAAATGGGGAGCAGCTAAAAGTATAGTTAACTTGGCAATCGTGTGTGTGTGTGTGTGTGTTTTTTGTGCAGGTGACATGGGGCAGCCAGGTATCGCTGGTGTTACAACTGTTGGTGATTTCGGTCGGCCAGGTTCACCAGGCCCTCCTGGTCATGCAGGACTGAAGGTCAGAGAAACAGACTAAATCTGACATTAATATAATTATATAGTTAACAATTACATATAGTATATTAGTACTTTATTGGTCATTAAATAAAGCAAATTAAAGGGTCAAACTAAAGGTCACCAGTTAAAATACAGAAGGGTTACACTTACAGATGCAGATTAAAAATAGGAAATAAAAAATATGTTTCCAAGCTTCCCTGCAGTTGTACCGTCTAAATGTTATATTATTTATGTTAAGATCTTGGATTAGACAGCAAGAGATCAATGTACATATGGTACAGAGGCTTTTTGCTGAGAGTATGATGAGAAGATTGACATCATGTGACCCAATAGCACATATGCGAAAACCAGTTTGCTTTCGGTAGACCAGTAGAAAAGTGACATTTTATTGTTTGGATTTGTTTTAGTAGTGCAGAATAAAGTTATCGCTTACGTTGCAAGTTAATACTTTTCCAAGACATTCAAATGCTCGTTTTATTGGGTTTTTGAATAGATTTTGTTTTCTTTGATCGACTTTTTTTGCCCAAACTTCTGTCGCAATATAATAAAAGGATAATTTATATTTATATTTATTTATAATTGAAAGGAATCGAATTGGATGAAGACTGTTAAGGACTCTCTAGCAGGAACAAATGTTATACACATTTCAGAGCACAAGAACTATACCACACTGAAAGCACATTGAAATGTTTAAGTATAAATAAATAATATTCTGTATGTTTGTGATCATCAGGGTGATGGTGGCCCTGGATGCGCTGGCCTCCTAGGACCACCAGGGCTTCCAGGGGAAGAAGGAGCTCAGGGGCCTGGGGGAGATCCTGGGATCCCTGGCTTATTTGGGAACCCTGGGCCAAATGGCAATCCTGGTTTCATAGGAGAAAAAGGTACGCATAAATCAATTATAAAACTGTATCCCACAGGCAGACAGAAATCCATAATAAGAAAATAATGCATGTTTCAAACACGTTTTCATGCATTGCATACATATTCATACAAACACTTGTTCATCTATAAACTGCTTTAATCTATGTTGCATACAGGAAGTAAAGGTAATGTCGGGCCCCTAGGACCTCCTGGTTATCAAGGTTCATGTAAAGGTGATTTACCTGGACCAAGGGGACTTCAAGGACCAGGCGGTTATCCAGGAAATCCAGGTCAGTGTGTATTGAAGTCATGTGTACTTAACTGTCAACTCCAGACGATGAATACAGTAATTGAACGACAACAAAATGCCAAAAGAGGGTTGAAAAATAATTCAACAATATCCAACAAGTGTAGACAGCTTCTTCCTGTAGGGTTAAGAATACATTAAAATGTAAGAAATAACAATATTAATAACATTTATTAATTTGACTAATAATAAAATAAAGAAATACAAAATAGATTTTCACCATTCCCTTAACCACATTCAGTGTTTCCCTCTGCTCCCCAACTACACTTTCTCCTGTCTCTCTGTCTCCCCTCTCCCAGGACCTAATGGTCTGCCGGGGGAGAAAGGGAACAGAGGAGTGGCGGGGTTTGGTCCTACTGGGGCCCCGGGTGAGCCTGGTTTAATTGGGCCAACCGTGCGAGGTCTAAGTGGGCTTCCTGGACTAAAAGGGATCAAGGGACAACATGGCCCCCCCGGTCAACCAGGTACAGCATTGTTTGTCTGACAGACACGTATTTAAAGGTGTTTTATTCTAGATAGATTGGGAGTGGGTCATTTCAACTTTAAAAAAGTTTTAAAAACATCTAAATGTGCTTAAGTAAAAGTATTTATTATGCAAAAAATGAAGCTGGAATTGTTATGGTTAATATATCACAAAATGTCTCTTAGATGTATACAGAGTAGCATAAAAGCTAAATACTCAGGTAAAGTACTATTATGTCAAAATAATACTCTAGTAAAGGACTTGAGAACATAGAGCTTGTTTTCATGAGTTCCACTCCTCTAGGAATAAGAGGAGACCCTGGACCAGATGGGTTACCAGGATATGGACCAGAGGGGCTCCCTGGAACTATCGGACCACCAGGCCAAATAGGTGCGCACACACACAAACACACACACGCTCAAACACGCACAAATCTGTACACTACACATGTTTTCCAAAAAGATTCATTTAAAAAGTGTTGCATCAGTTTTTAAACAATGGTTGATGATTTATGGTAGTTTTATAATGAATACAATTATGATGGAGTTAATGCCTCTATTGACAGGTGCCCCTGGCCGACATGGGGCAAGAGGTCTCCCAGGTTCACCAGGCATTAACGGAGACCCAGGTCCTGGAGGTCTTCCAGGCCCTTCATTACTACAACTAAAGGAAGCTTTTGGGCCCCCAGGGGACCCTGGCAGTCACGGTAAGCTTCACAGTCAATCTTTCTCATTAATTTGTCATTTCATGATGCTTACAGGTGTTTCACAAAACACAACTGACATTTTCTGAGGGATCTTTCTTTTACATAACTTTTAGGTTTTTATATCAAAGGACACTCTTGCATGTGAAGTGGTAAATGCAGTCTTTGCAAGTTAAGCCTATGTAATGGTTATAAATGTTTAACTCTACCTGTACTTTTTCAGGTCACCCCGGTCTCTCTGGTGTCCATGGAGATCCTGGAAGTATTGGACCAAAAGGGCAGAGAGGGATCGGTGGAGTACCAGGGCGTCCCGGACAAAAAGGTTTGTTATTCTCATCTCTACCAATACAATAGCCATTGTTTTTGGCCCCTAGATCTACCATTTTTGAAACTGCATTTCTGCCATCGTTGTCCAGGTCTGCCAGGTGAACCAGGTGTTGATGGACTCGTGCTCTCAGTAGGTAGTCGAGGGCCTTCTGGATCTCCCGGAGACCCAGGAGTCATAGGGCCTCCAGGTAAGATATAAACTTTGATTTAATGTCATACACGCTGATTGCCTTCCTACGAATTCACATATATAACCTCACTAAAGTACAGTAATACTACTAAATAGCTCTATAACTACAAATTCAGGATAAAATCGCATTTTGATTTTTAATAAGACCTTCCTAAATTCTCCCACACCACGCCGCTCCTCCGCTCCCTCCACTGGCTTCCGGTAACTGCTAGAATCCACTTCAAGACAATGGTACTTGCGTACCATGCTGTGAATGGATCTGGCCCTTCCTACATCCAGGACATGGTTAAACTGTACACCCCAGCACGTGCTCTCCGCTCTGCATCAACCAAACAGCTCGCTGCACCCTCGCTGCGAAGGGGACCCAAGTTCCCATCAGCAAAAACACGTGGGTTTGCTGTCCTGGCTCCAAAATGGTGGAATGACCTCCCCATTGAAATCAGGACAGCAGATAGCTTACACACCTTCCGGCGCAGACTGAAAACTCATCTCTTTCGACTCCACTTCGAGCGATATAACTATTAACAAAGCACTTATATACTAATAAAAGACTGGCTTATCTAAAGCCTGTTGAGTAGCACTTGAAATGTTTTTGCTCTATGAAACCTGATGTACTTATATGATTCTGTTTTCTTCAAGTTTGTATTTTGTTGGTCGAACGCATTTATTGTAAGTCGCTTTGGATAAAAGCGTCAGCTAAATGCAATGTAATGTAATGTAATGTAATAACCATTAAAGGGGTTTCGAAATAAAGTAATTCTCTAAAATAGAGACCTAAAGCGACCTTGAGGTTATGAAAGGCGCTATATAAATTCAAGTTATTATTATTAAAATAATCTGTACTGTCAAGTGTACATTGCATTGTGCTGTACGTGTAGATATCACGGTCTCTTTTAATATATCTTACCTTAAATAATTGTTTGGTTTAACCCTCGCAGGCCCAAAGGGAATCAAAGGAGATCTAGGAATCCCTGCAGGGCCAGGTCCAGATGGTGTACCAGGTTCACCCGGTAACAAAGGAGATAATGGAGAGCCAAACTACTATGGATATGGACTACCTGGACCAGTAGGACAAAAGGTACTGATGACTGATCTAAACTTTTTTTGTAACTGATGCGGCAGAGTAGGGTCCAATCTACTAAAATACTCAAATGCTTGTAGTTTTGAGGAAATAATGACGATACCTCTCTGTTTTCTGTTCATCTTGTCCAGGGTGAAGCAGGATCAACTGACCCTTATCTGATGAAGGGTCAGAAAGGAGAACCTGGTTCTTTTGGACCTTTAGGTTTACCAGGAAACCGTGGAGCCAAAGGAAACCCAGGGCCTGTTGGACAAAATGGTTACTACCACTGTTCACGAAGATAAGGCAGATTATGATTGTTGTATGTTTTGCTCACACTAAGTTAACCTCCCACCTCCCTCTTGTCCCAAACCCTGCTATCCCAGGTTCACCAGGCTTTCAAGGGCCTGAGGGGTCAGATGGACCTCCACAATGCAAAGGAGGGTTAGGACCCAATGGGCCAGCAGGTAATGTCCTTTAACGACAACTTATTTTTGCTAATGAAGGAAAACTTTCAGTATATGTTAGTTAATCAACTATCAACAAACTTCACGGTACTCACTTTTGAAAGGCGACGAAGTTGAATCTGTATTATGATTTTACTGCTCTATTATGTTTGCAGTTTGACCGCATCTGTTTTTCTCAGGTGACCCAGGCCCACCGGGAGTCGGTGGTTCTCTAGGTCCTAAAGGCAATCAGGGCCGCGACGGCATACCTGGACCAGCAGGGCAGAAAGGAGACACTAGTAAGAGGAATTCTCCATATACAGATCAGTAGGGCTTTCTGATCATGTATATGACAAAACTATAAGGATTACAGTTTATATTTTCTTTATGTCCATACCCCTGGCCAGTGGAAAAGTGTCTATTTCATAGCTATTGGTACTTTCAAAGCCATCGCTGCGGCCAAACTTAACCTGTTTTTCCATCTTTTTTTTGTAGATATATTAGGAGGGACACCTGGTAGGCTTGGTGACACAGGTCAACAAGGTGAGTTTCAGGTAAACTACATCATTCTTTTTAAGAGTTCAACAAACTTGTGTCACAATCCTTTACTTAAAAAAAACTTGTATTTTCCCCAGATGAGAATTATTATCAACCTGTCTTTAACATTTGATTATTAGCACTGTTGAGAAATGAGTGCCAAACATTTATATTTCTGCACT